CTTCCTGTGCTGATGGACTGTGGCGGGTCATTTCCCTCCGTGTAGCATCACTGTAGGTAGTACAGCCTTGACAGTAGGCCTCGTTCACTTGGAAATGTGCACCTGTGCTTTCCTGCCACCTATCTCAGCGGTGCCCTCTGCATAGCCGGGAGCAGCTACAGCTGAGTGAAGGGTGCCCACGTGGCAGGTCTGTTCTGGGGGAAGTTTGGTTCCTGCAGGCCACAGAAAGGCCTGGAGAGCAAACTGAAGATTTAATGTAAATCATTCCAAGTAGAGAATGGGAGGTGCTACTGTAGGGAAATCCGGGCTTTTGTCTGTCCCCTCCTGCGTTTCAGTGTATATTCTCCTGGAGGGGGTGCTCAGAGAAACATCTGCTTCCTCCTAAATAAGAGTTCTGAAAATTCTGTTTTACTTAATAATAAAAGCTAGTTTTATGTGCAAGAATTAGACACAGGAGACCTAAAACCTTCCAACAAGAGATCACAAAAGACCTAGCCAAGAATGCTGATTTGTTTTTTTTTTGTTCCAAAATGTCTTCTGTTGACAGGATTCTATCTTGGACATTAAAGTACCAATATTCAAAGGGCCTGGAGAGATGCCTGAAATCCGGTCCTACATGGAAGAGTTCCCGTTCCCATTCTATATAATTCTTCGTGACGTGAACGCGCTTCCCGAGACACTCAGCGATGCTCTCAGGCAGTGGTTTGAGTTGGTGACAGCCTCTGACCACCCATAGAAAAGAAGACACACAGTCCAAAGTGAAACTTTAAGAATGTCACACTTCTTGTCCTTGTGCTCCCTTGTGGACAACTGTTTCTGGACTCAGTTCTAAAATATGATACTCTTACTGTGCCTCTGATTTATAAATATTCAACAACTACAAAAAATGTTACTGCATTGTACCTTTTACCCTGCAGTATTTTTTTCAGAACTTAAGGTAAAGCTCTCAGGCTCCCTGCTTTGTCTGAGCTACAGTTCTTGGAGCAACAGCAGGCACCTGGTTCCATACTCGGGGAGAGCTCCCCTTCCAGCCTGCCTTAGAAGCCCTGGTCCTGGAGGGGGGCTTGGGGCCCAGGCATCTCCTTCCCCTCACAGGGACCCTGGTTGCCTGCCTCGAGGAGATGCTGCCAGGAGTGTGGGATCGTGCCAGACCTCTGGACAAAGGACTAAAGGCAACCACCCTTCTGAGCCCAGGCTCTGCCTTGCCAAGCCCACAGCGTACACCCAAAAGCTGTCAGGTGGCCGAGAGAGCAGTTTCCTAGAGAGTCCCACTGTGTTTTCTTTTTGTGTTTCATGAGAAAGGAACTACCTTCTCTTTGAGGGTAGGAAGCTTGTGGTACATGTGTTTTCATAAAGCAACCAGCCATTGTGGCAGCCCAAGGAACCAGAAAATGACCCTTGGGCTGTGTGTGAATGGACACACTGGAAGGCCACTTCTTCACACTTGCTGCCTCAGGTGACTATGCAATGACAGAAAGATGGTTTTCCCCATGTTTATTTAGTTTTTTCCAGTGCCAGTGTCACTGTTGCTATAGTAATTTATTTCTTCAGTTCACTTTTTTCCTTAACAGTTAAGAGGAAGAACCGTTCACACTGCCTTCCAGGTGGGCTGAGCCGCTCACTCTGGAGAAGAAGCGCTGCCTCCGGCAACACTACGCAGCTGTGTGTTTCTTTTTCCAGTCAAAATACACCAAGTTTCTAGGCAGTTTTTACTTGGCCAGAAAGTAGTGCTTAAGTACTTGAAACTGTGTTCTGTGTTACATTCTGTCAGAATGGGTTTTTGTAGACCACATGCTACATACGTATAGACAGCATGTAATTGTCCATCATCAGATCCCACTGTGAGGTTTGCCACCCCTTGAGGTGCTCAGAGACACAGATTGATTGTTTGACCAAGTGTCCTAAAGCATGTACCTGTTATGCCATTATTTTTTATTCTAAAAAGCTATGCAGCTTATATTCTGAAAACTATTAAATATATATATATATATTATACATATATATATGCCCCACTGCTGATGTAATCTGTGACCACTGTTAGGAAACAGGCCAGGAGTGGGGACCAGAGTGGAAAGGGGCCAGGGCAGTGGGCCTGCCTGCCGGCTCGGTCGAGTCCCACTGGCTGATGCTGCGCTAGCAGGACCCATGCCTGCAGTAAGGGTTTGTGTCTGTGGTGAGAGATGCAACATGCTGGCCTATGGCAGAGGAAAAATGGTAAGTTGGGGCAAACAGTGGTTTGTAAAGATTCTGCTCCAAAATGATTTGTGTCTCTTCCACTGACATTTTATTGACCAAAAGCCCTTTACAGCGACAGGAAGTTTAATCTCCCAGCAGGGTCGGGTCTGGTAGGGAAGACTCCAGCTTTATGAAGGTGATGCTGTCTAGCATGTCCACCTTTAACTGACAGGACCATCTAAGCTGGAGCTTCCCGACTGGCGTGCTAAGATGCTGATTCCTTGGCCCTGAGGTAGCTCCTTGGGTCTGGGACCATAGGCAGTCCAGTTATCAGGTGACCCAGAGTGCCGTTTTCAGCCTGTGCTGCGATGGGCAAGGGCTGGGAAGCATGGGGGCAGTCACAGGACACCCGGCGAGACCTGACAGGGTGGGGTCAGTCAGGCCCTGGCCCCAGGGAAGGAGTAGGACGCGCCTGAGTCCCTGAGGAGGTGCTCATTCTCTCACTTGGAGCTCAGCTTCTTTATCTGCCTGCCTTCACTGTGTCCGCCTACACCCAGCCTGTCCAGCCTAACTCCTGGACATTCCTCTAGGCCTGTCCTCCGTTCTCTCTCTCTCCCCTGCACTGCAGCCGGAGCTCTGTCAGTCTGTAACCTGGACTACGGCAGTGGCATCCCAGACACATCACTTTGCTCACTTCATCCTACTCAAAACATCCAAGGAGACCTTCCCAGAATTCCTTTAGAGGGCCCTGTTGCAAAGAGGGTATTATTATTCATGCCTCCCACCGTGGCCTGATGCTCCTTCCCCTTTCTTCCAGCATGCCCACCACACTATGATCTGATCACAGCAAACCCTGGAGGGGCTGGAACCTGCCAGTGTCCCATGTGGTCTGAAATTTCCTTACCTTCTCTGCCTGACAAAGCTCAGATAAGTCCTCCAGGAAGAATGAGCTCTCAGGATAGGAACCTGGACATGTGTAATACTACGCTGTACTTAGATGTCTTCTGGTCCAAAGGGTGAGACTGGGGACAGGGAACACAGGACTCACGACAGTGTAATTACCCAGCACGAGTGAATGTTTTTCTAGATAGGAAGAATTGGTAAAAATGTTTTTTCTCATATACTAAAGATTCAACACTGCCAAATATTTTTTTAAATCCCGAAATGATTGGGAGGGACATGATATAAAACATTTTTAAATTAAAGGTCAACTTTAACAGAAGAGTATTATAAGAAACTACAGGGGAGTAGTCTTGCCAAATAAAACACAATACAACAAAAATATAACATCGAGTAACAAAAATTAGAAGCAACATGATACTAATTCCAGATGAAATAATTCAAACAATTTACCATATGGGCTTTACAAAGCCCAAGAAGAGGAATGAATTATTTAATAAATGGTGTTGAAGTTAGTTTAGCAGCTGTTAAAGAACTTATATCCACCACAAAACAAGTTCTAGATGGAGTATTTTAAAAGCCACAAAAAAGTGAAAACAATTAAAGTTCTGAAATAGAATTACAAATGACTTCAAAGAAGATAAAATTGAAAGCCTCAGAAGAAATCAAAATGCTTATATAGGGATTGAAGGCTATATAAAAGAAAAGGGTGAAAATAAAAACTCAGAATAAAAGTTTTAAATTGCTAGAAATGGACAACCAAAGTGGTGATGGTTCACAAAATGAATGTAATAAAGTAGTAAAGGATATGTAACCAATATTTTAACAAAATCAGTATGAATCGCTACAGCTAAGTAGTAGACAAACTTAAAAAAAAAAACGGTGGTGGCAGCAAAGACACTGACACTGTAACATCTTATATGCTGATAGGGACCAGAATGGAGGGGGTGAGGCCTTAATATGGGTGAATGTTGAACCACTCTTGTGTATTTGAAACCGTCGTAAGATTGTCTATCAATGATACTTTAACAACAACAAAAAAACGATGGGACCAGCATCACTCCCATACATACAACAGGAGGTCTTGTTCTGAGTGTATTACATGTAATACAACAACTCCGAGGTAGATGCTGTTACTTCACTTTACAGATGAGGAAACATGCCAATCACGTTACCAAAACACAACTAGGACAAGGGAGTACGAGAGAATATCAACAAGCGATGCTCACTCCGTTAAACGGGTACTTGAACATTTTTTGCAATTTTAGGTATTCTATTTAGAAAGTAATACAGCAAAAATTTGCGAACCCCACTTTAAAAAGGCGTGTGGTGTGTTAGGAGGAAGACAAAACAACCACGAGTAAAAACTTAAGGCCTGCGGATATTCAGTTCCTCAGCATTAGAGATATAAAACTAAAATTGCAATGGGGCGGCCTTTTAAAAGCCTTGTTACTAATCATAAACAGACTGCCACGCCAGGAAAATAAATCTTGCCATAGAAAAAGAGCAGGATAAAAACGAGAAAAAAAGACAAAAAATAGGGTGCAAACTTTTCAAACTAACGTTTAAAATATTTTGGTATTTTTAACCATACACATTTAAAAAGTTTAAAAGAAATGCACCAAAATAATTTTCCCCTTGCCGCCAAAACCCCTAACTTCCTTCTAACGAAACTATTAAACAGGTGCCAGGAACTGTGCTAACTGCCTTACCACTCCTATTTCATGGTAACAATCCCTGATGCAAGCAAGCTATCCCGTTTCACGGTAAGAAAACGTGCTAAGACCGGTGACATTGCCCAAGGTTACCTAGCTCATAACCGGTTGCAGACCCGAGGGCTGTAGTTCCACCCACCTCCGAGGCTGACCTGCCGCGGTCGCCCAGGAAACAGCTCGTCCCACCTCCTGGCGCTGGCTCACTTCCGCTCCTGCGCACTGCGGCTCGGGCCAACCGAGCGCTCTGGAGAACATGGCTGCTTCCCGCTTACCCTCAGCGACGCTAACGCTGAAGCAGGTACCAGCTGTTCTCGCCGGCCTTACAGGGCAGCTTTCCGGAGTCTGATCTGTTATCCCCCTCTGCCTCCACCTAGTCCACGGAGCGGCTGTGGCGAGGGGGAAGGGGGGCACCTACCCTGCGCTCACTGTGATTGGCCGGGGCTGCATGGGCTGGGCTTCCCGTCGCGGAGCCTGACGGGAGGGGCGGGGCGGGGCTCTTGCTCTCCAGGCGCCCTGATGCCACAGCTGCCCGACCGCCACGGTGAGGGTTTCTCTGCCTGTCGTACTGAGCCATACTAGAGACCAAATGAGCGTACCAAAGGCTTTGCACAACTGCCTATAGAAAAAGTGCTGTTACTATGGTTGCAGCTTCGAGGAGACTGGTAGCCCTTTGCCCTGTCAGCTCTTGATTTTAGGGATTCTTGGGTTTGACAAATTAGTAAGCGAATAACCCAAATAAACTAACTGCCGTTTTCTTAAGTGTTTTTCTTTGCCCTTTCAACATTGAGGATCAAAGAGAAGTCATGTGGTTACAGTTTGGATTGCTAAAATAGAGCCTCCTGGCACCTTGTGCAGTTTTAATTGCCATTTCTTGTCCCGGTACAGTTCATGAGAAGGCAACAAGTTCTCCTTCTCTACAGAAGGATTTTGCAAGCAATTCGGCAAGTTCCGAATGATTCTGATCGCAAATACCTGCAAGACTGGGCAAGGGAAGAATTCAAAAGAAACAAAAGTGCCACCGAAGAGGTGAGAACGAGATGCTGGTGTTCGTACTCATCAGTGAAGTTTTTAAAAATTGAGTAGACATCTTGGAATGTAAATGTCACTGAGATGCTCTATCTTGATTGTGGCTCTGAATGTTATGACTTTTCAAAAGATATTTTAAATTTTACAATTCTTACTGCACCTGCGTTTCATGGTAGCATCACCCAGCTTCTATGTTAGACTCTACACACACACATACATGAAAAGACTGTAATTACAGCATGGTGGTTCCGGAAGCATGATGATGGGGGTACATGAAAGCACGCCAGACATTGTACACCCTGTTAGCTTTTCACTTCCCTAATATGTAGCAGATGCAGTTCTCAGTATTGGTTCTTGACTAAAAAATAAACTAAAAGAACTATACCTTATTTAATGAGGTAAAACAGTGACCAGATTTCACTTTCTTCTACAGGATACAATCCGGATGATGATTACTCAAGGCAACATACAGCTGAAGGAGTTAGAAAAAACACTTGCCTTTGCAAAATCGTAACTACATCATTATTCTGAAAGATTTTTAGTCTCCATGTGTTTTGTTGTGCTCAGGCTCACTGATGGGCAGCCTAAAGCCAAGCCAGTCTGTCTGTACATTACTTGGGCAAAATAACAGAACATGGAGCATGGCATGTCGGACAGCAAAGAGTATCAAAATAATTGCCATAGCACTGAAAAATTTACCTTAATAGCATTTTGAATCTATTTCTGGATGTGCCAGCAGTTTAAGAAGCAAAAACCAGTATAAGAAATGGTCAGTTATCACATGAAAAGATGCTCAACACTGTTAACCATCAGGGAAATATAAAACAATGATACTCCTTCACATCCACGTAATTAAGAAGGGAGATAATAACAAATGTTGCTGGAGATGTAGAGAAATTGTAACCCTCACCTATTTGCTGGTGGAAATATAAAATGGTGCAGCCCCTTGGGAAAACAAGACTGCCGGTTGCTCAGAAGGTTAAACATAGATACCATATGATTTAGCAGTTCTGCTCCTAGGTTTATAAACGAGAACTGACAAGTATATAGTATTATTCCTAATAGCGAAAAAGTAGGAACAACCCAAATGCCCAACGCCTGATGAATGGTTAAATAAAATGTGATATATCCACACAGTATTATTTAGCAAAAAAGAGCGAAATGCTGATTCATGATAGACATGCATGGACCTGGAGACCAGTCACAAAAGTTCACACGTTGTATGACTGTGTTTATGTGAAACATCTATAGAATAAACAGATGAGTGGTTGCCTCGGGCTGTGGATGGCATGGAGAGTATTTAATTGCCAATGGGCAAGGGGTTTCTTTTCTGAGTGATGAAAATATTCTAAAGTTAGATTGTGGTGTTAGTTGCACAACTCGGTGAATATACTGAAATCCGTTGAGTCACGATTTTATCTCAACAAAGCTGGTTTTTTCCTCTGAGACAACTGACATAAAACATTGTCTAATCAATAAAGCTGTTTTAAAAAGCGGTATGAGATGATTAGAGGTATACTGACCTACAGCTTTTCTTGAAAAATCCTTCTGCATTACCCCTCAGGGCTGTGGAGGTATGTTCTCCAGATGTACCGTGATCTGATTCTCAGAGGACTCTGAAAACATCACTGCCGGGGCTCTCAAACTTTGTTGGAAAGAGGAGAGCGGCTGAAGGAATGTGCTGAATACAGAGGCAACTTCTGGATGAAACTAATGTCGTTACCTTAATATCTACATAAAAGAAAAATAAATTTTTAGGGAAGATGTTCAGTGCATCAGGTTCTCCAGTTCTAGGAAAAAAAAGTTTGAAGAATGCACTGGAAACAAGTTGACCTCAGGACCTTTTTGAAAGATACCAACTGTGTAACCCAGTTAATTTAGTGAAAGTGAAAGCTTGTGAGGGGCTGATGGGCAGTCCTGCAGGGAAGTTCTCTTCACCTACAGATCTGAAAAGTTAACCCAAGAATCTGAGCCGTGCCTGAAAGATGTAAAACAAAATTTGCAGAATGTAAGTGGTATCTGGTACTGGGCTGTGTGCCAGAGAGGCATAAGCTGATGGTATTTACGTCAGTAACCTGCATTGCCCAGGGTCCACTCCCATTTTCCACAGCCTCAGAGACCACAAGACAAAATGACTGAACATCTTCCACAGGGAAATCTAATTCAAAATGCTTGTATAAGCCAATTTTCAGTTTTATGTAAGTGTACTTTGGTCAACTGGTTGCAAAGGCATCTAATGAACAAAACGTTTGTGAAGTTTCTGAGTCTGAGCAGAGAACATTCATCTTTGTGTAACATGATTGACATACACACTCTGTCCGTAATAAATATAATTTTGCTGCTGAAAATCACCCTTTTAGGTGTGGAAGTCAAGGACTCGTTCTTAGCACTAGTGCACAAGAGCATTTGTGGTTTGAATCTGCAAGATGCAGATACCACGAACTCCCAAGACAACCTAACTTGGGGTTTGTTTTCTTTTAAAGTGGACAAAACAGTGAAAATTGAATTTTATCTTCCAGAGGCTAAGATTTTTATAATGGACAAGCATTTACCTTCATCTCTAAAGAAGTTTAATTTGTTCACTTATCATGCCTTGATTATCCCATCTTAATCAGACCAAATCTGTCGTTCAGGCTAGAAAGATTTAGTCAGCAATTTCTTCTCATCGATGGAACAGTCATTAACTAAGACACTGGCCAGAACAGAACTGCTGGTGAAACACATTTTATTTGCCAGTATTCTGGATCAGACAACAATTACCTTTCTGGATGTTCCCTGTAAACTATATACTCTTGAGTGTTAGAGTTTTGTTCATAAGATATGTAAATGCTCATGTATTTGAACTATAATAAATCTTTATGCTAAAACAATTTTAAATACAAAAGCTTTCTAGCATGTGACAGGTGGCTAAGGCTATTACTTAACATACTGACTGCCACTATGTAATTTTCTCCTTTTAAGTGTGTCCTCAGGTTGGAAGTTTTAAATTCATGGCACAGTTACTGCTGTGGCTGTACTTGCTGAGACGGGTGCCTAATATTTGGGCGAAGCAGAACATAGTTGTATTGGCATTACAGTTCTACCAGCAGTTGCTCGAAGACAGGCTGAGACCCATGCTTACCCCGATTACCTCTTTTATGGCACAAGTAAGGGAAGTGCTGGTAAAACACCAGAAGGAAGCAGCTCACGTCTACCTTGAAAGAAGTCGGGCAGATGTAGAAACAGATCTAAACAGGATCAAAATTGTCACCCTGTGCCAAACTAGAAATCGCTATAGACTATCTCCTTCCACTAGTCAGGCATTGGAGAGATTATATTAGGATGAAATTTACTGTTTTTTTCACCAAGAAGAGTAAATCACTTTTTACTGTATTTTGTATTTTAAAAAGTGCTTTGCTGTGCTGTCTTCCTTTAGTGTTTCATGGACTTAATATGTTCACATTTGATTGTCATAACATTTGACATACAGGAAAAGACTTTCCCCTTTCACATTACAACTAAAAATATTGTTAATGTTTTTACTTAATCATAAGAGGTATCCTAAGCTGATTTAAACTGATCTGTCCTTTCAATCTTACTTGATTGGCTCTTCTATCACAAGAAGAAATGTATTTCGCTTTTAGGAACAATTTGTCAGTCAAAATATGTTATCTCTGCCTGCATACAAGTGGGGTTTTGTCCTTCTTTGCTCGATATTTTCCAAAAAGGCAACAGTTTAAACAGAACATTTAAACATTTAAACATGTACAGCTTACACAGAGAAATCTCTCCAGGTTACAGGCTTTTAAAAAAAATTCTTTTTCACACAGTGCACCTGATCTCTACTTGAAAGCAGATGTATTTATTCTGTTACACTTTCATAGAAACAAGGTGAAGTGTGGCTGGGTGAAGGCACTCTTAGAGGAGCCACAAAATCTGATCAACCACATGAGTGAGTGAAAGTAGAGGCTAAACAAAGTGCTCACACTTTCCCTTTTTAAATAGGGAATTTAATATCCACAGTGTTGAGAACCATGTTTTAACACTTGGAAGAGACACAAATTCAAGGTAATAAAAATATTAAATAGAAGACAACATACCTCACAAGTATCAACACTTGACTGAAAAAAAAGGTATAAACATGAAAACACTTCCTTTATTTTGGGCTCCCAAAGTCCGAAGTAAGATTAGAATGACTAATCTATCACAGATATGATTTACTATACACTCAATGCATTAATGCACTAACAATTTTTTAAATTACTGCAACACTGTACAACTTTCCTGTGTTTCACATAATTTTTTCCGCAGCTATTGAAAATTCCAGTCTGTTTCATACACAACCTAAATGACAGGCTATGAATAGTTAATAGTCCTGCGTCTTTGGAAAAGTACTACCGCGGCATTTGCTCATTTGAGCAGACAGCACAAGGAAAAATACACACTGACCCAGAGCTGAGTTTCTGACTAAGGAACAAAAACGGACCAAACAGTTGTTGCACATAAAAAGCTCCTGCACTGGCCTTGAGACGCCGCCGTCTCTCTGGGTTAGGGGGCCGACCAATCCCGTTCCATTTCCTTCCCTCTGTTTTCCCTTCTGTGAGAGAGAAGATCCATGTGATCTGCCAGAGTAGGTACATCTAGTCCGTTCCCTGGTCTCTACTAGAAGCAACTGGCAAAAGTACCCCATTCACAACGCTAAGCTGCCTGTTTCTGCCGGGTGGGAGTTACATAATCAAAATACTTCCCACTGGAGCACTCTATGGTCTAGATGGCAAAATTTAAATTTAGTTTATTTTCAGCCTTTCTCCACCAAGATACCCTTTGAGGTGAGAGGAGATATTTTGATAAGTGAAAATAAGTCCTACTTGGGGCACAATTTACTGAACATCTCAGGAGTTCATCTCTTCTCTGACTCTGTGGCATCTCTCAATAGATTAATATATGTTGAGGAATGAAGCATTGTTGGGGACAGGTGTAGAAAACTGAAGGTACCATTTATGATCCTGTGATTCTGCATTAGGAACAAATCAATGAAAAGAGGAGAAGTGCCTCCACATTTAGCAACCCAGCACGAGTCTCTGGGGAACAACCGTCTACCTACTTGCTAGTTGAGGAGTGAGACAAGCTCATAAACATGACACAAACATGAGAGAACATCAAATTAATTCCCTGCCCAGGTTCTGTGAGGGTGGCACACATACATCTGCGTGAATTAGGAGTATCTATAGCCATAGACGGTCACTGTTAGAGAAACCAACAAAACAAAACACCATGAGCTTGAAGGGAAAAAGCAAAGAGATGAAAAGCGTACTTTGTCTTTCTGGGTGTTTCCATGTCAGAACATCATTACAGTCTCTCTGGCTCAATGAGCAACATTTTTTTCAAAATTATAAGCAATGGTTACTTGGTTCTTATATTTATAGAAAGAGAATTGAGGTTTCTATGCACACATGGAATTTTGAGGAGATGAATATAATCTCACATTCCAAGGGACAAAATACTTAGCAAATAATTAAATCCAAAGTTTCAATGCACCCATGCTACTTTTACAACTATGTGTATACTCCATAGGGTAAAAATCCTTAGAGCTCCATAAAGCTGGGGACTTGTGGGGACTAAATCAAGTTATTGTGTTGACCGAGTCCCTGCAATGCAGTGAAAAGCTTTTGAGGTTTTCAATGACAGAACTCAATCAAAAATGAAGTACTTTCAAGCAATAGCTGTATTTCTTTATAAAACATAGCCCAATAAGCTCAAATTCAGAAAAGTACTCTGGGATGTTTGGGTTTGATTATGAAGAGGTTACAGAAGTTTCAGGTAATTGTTGCATGAAAGTTTTTCCACTCATCTGCTTTAAAATCACTAAGATTAATCAACTGTAGTATTTCTGTAATTTGGCTGAAAATGCAGAAACAATGTTCAAATGATCTGAACCTTTCTCATTTGTGTCCATTATTAAACATTCCCAGTGCTGTTAGCCAGTTGCTCATTATTTAATTAAACTGACTGCAAACATTCTAAGATATACTGGATCTCGTGACATGAAAATCTCTCCTCACTCGGTAAGTTTTCACCTGGTTAACATGTCAGCATTTTGAGAATTCACAAGGGATTAACATCTCTTCTTGCTTTTGATTTATCCTGAATTTGGGGATCATTCAGTTTCTTAGCATGGCTGGCTTAATGTGAGCTTTTGAACTTCAGATGAACTTGAATTAAGGTTTTGAGTTTGTAATGAAACCTGAAACTCAGCAAGCTCCTGCGGGTTTCAGTTTAAGTGTTGAAGTCTTCATAACTTCCGGGCACAGGAAACATGTGTCTGGCACATTCTCGAAGTTACGGATTTTTTTTTTATGCGCACCATAACTGACCCCTCGGGCACAGCTGTTCTGCGCTCACACAACCGGAAATTCCCACGAGCCCCTTCCTGTGCCACTTCCCCGGCCCTAGTTTTCCTTCTGCACCTTCGTCCTTAGTTTAGCAAGTTCCTCTTCCAAACTTTTAATATGTTCCTTCAGTGTGGCCTTGTCCTGCTGGGCTTTGTGGCTGGCCTGGCTTCGTGCTTCCTCAATCTTCCTTTCATACCACTTCTCCATCTGGGTGGAAACAGCCTCAAAAAAATACTGGGTAATCTCCAGAGCTTGGGCGGTGTCTCGGACATGAGGTGCAGGCTGCTCGCTGCCTCCTGCGGCTGGCGGCTGCCCACCGGCGTTGCCAGGGGCTGGGTGCGGGGCTCGATGCCTCATCAGCCCACTCTTCCCAGACTTCTTGGTTTGGGTGCCCTTGTCGATGCAGGGCCCGGCCTGCTGCTCGCACGGGGCTGTCTCTTTCAAGGGCAGCAAGGCCGTGTGGCCCCTGGCATTCCTCAGGCGGCAGCCCATGCAGTCCGAGGCGGGCAGCTCCTGCTGGAGCCCCTGGGCAGCGGCCACATGGAGGGCCTTTTCCTTGGGCCTGACCACCAGTGGGGAACTGTCAGAAGCTGCTCCTGGACCTGCGGTCACCACCGACTGATCCACACCTGGTTGCAGAAGGAAAAGAAAGGTCAGAGCAAATCCACAGTCACGTAGCCACGGGCCTGTGGGTCGGCACCTGAGTCCCAGGAATCCCGCGAGCCGCCAGCCTCCCCAGCCACCAAGCACCATGTGCAGCTTCTCCTCTGCCCTTCCGTCCGCTTCTGCCCGATGACCGTTGCAGCCGGCCAGGGCGTACACGCATACTCCGTTAGCCACACTGGCGGCGGCTGAGCCAGAAACATTGCCGGCCTTTCCTGTCGCCTGCTTCACTCTACCCTAGGAGGCTCTGGCTACCACCTCCTGATTGCTACAGGTGACCCAGCTCGCCAAGCGTCTCAAAACGAAACTGGGCACTTATTGATGAGAATGAATATCCCCGTTCTTCGATTTCTGGGCCCTTTGTATGTCACAGCCCCAGTTACTAGTTCCTTGACACGAGCTCTGATTTGGAGAGGTGGTCCTATGCCCAGAGCCCCAGCCAAGCTCCATGACTAGGCCTAGCAGGAAAAGTTGGCCCCGGAGTCTCCCAATGTGAAAAGCACAAAGAAGGTAAAATCACAGCTCCGGAAATGGTCCACAGTAACATAAAAACACTTGACATATCAAAATCCCCCACGGAGGCCTCATCACTAAAGCTCTGAACGTGCTTAAAACCAGCATCCCTGAGCATAATCACTGCGGCTGAAGTGAAGATCACGGCTTAAAGCACCTCTCACGCAGCCCCGGTGGCAGCTTCCACGTATGAACAGCTATTTAAGGAGGTTTCACAGAGCTGGGCAAAGGTGAAAGGTCAGTCAGCGAGAAGAAAGGGGAAAGGACAGAGGGTGAGGGCCAGAGCTCTGCCGGAGAGCCGCCCATTCATGACCCCTCATCTTCGGAGGCCACTGACCCCATCGGTGCTGTAGCTGAGGCACTGCTATCACTGAGCAGCAATTCTTTTACTCTCTCATTCTACTGGTTTTGAGCATTTAATAGGCGTGCGTTATAACTGTTCAGGAGCTGAGCACACAGCAGTGGGGACAACTTGGCACCTGCCCCCACGCACGTTACTCCTCAGTGCAGTGTTCCCCACAACCCTCGGACGCGGACCCAGGACAGATCAAGGTCTCTCTCTCTGCAGGTGGTTACCTGTAGAGGACTCGCAAGTAGATGGTGTGGATTTAGTCCTCGAGGCCCTGGAATCTCCAGAAAGCTTCACCTCCAGGTTCTGAATCTTTAACATGCACCAGGTTTTTAATTCATCCACCAAAGACAGCTAAAAACACACAAAATAACTGGTGAATTTGATACATGATTTGTGAAAAGGTATCAATTATGGACTTTTCAATTAGGACAGCTGAGAAGCCCACAGGCTGTGACTGAGCCCCCCCACAGGCTACACGGCCTCCTCCGCTGGCATACTTCAGACCAGGGCTCACCTGGCACCCAAGCTGGTGACCGACAACCTGTCATCTTCATTAAGTGACCCAGAGCCACCTTCAACTCATCCCCAAAGCTTCCCAAGTGTCCCGAGCCAGCACTTACGGCTGAGCTCTCACACACTCCAAGTACTTGTCCCATGTGTCCTGTCTTGGCTGGACCATAAACATCCTAGGGGCATGAACCAAACCTGGATCAACAGGGCAACGGCCCCCAAATGCATGACACAGAGAACTTCCCCGGGGCAGAGCTCCACTTTCTCCAGCACGTTCTATAAACCGCTCAGTCCCCACCTGCTGCCACCATACTCAGCGGCAAACAGGAACTGAGCTACAGGTTCTCTTCTGCTAACTTCATTTCAGAGTCATAAAAATGACCAGCTATGTAATGTAGATGCTTGTAAGGTCTCATGGCCTCTGGGTCTTGAGCGACAGGTCTGAGGGCTGACTCGGGTCGGTGGGTGTGATGACTCTCCAGCTAAGGACTGGCCGAGCCGGGCCTCACCTGCCGCTTCTCTCCCTCGTGCCTCTCGGCGTCTGCATGCTGCTGCAGGCGGCTCAGGCACTCTGTTCGCTCTGCCGAGAGTCTCTCAACCATCAGCTTGTCCAGGACACGCATCTAGGGTACGAGGGGCAAAGAGCACATGACTGAGATGATCTGAGGCCCTGGCCTCCCAACTCCTGCTCTGGGTACCAAGCAGGGACCAGAGAGGATGCAAGCAAACCTCAGCTCCTCACCTATTCTCTTTCCATACAATACCCCACGCATTCTTTTCTTGCAGAATTCCTAAGCCACATTTCTATGTAGGCCAATGTTTCTTTTTCTCATTTTTTAAGTCCTAAGGGGCTTAAGAGACTGTGAATAGACAGTAAATATACAAGGGGAGCCGATGCAGACTTTGTAGGTGAAAGAATTTTTGTAGGTCTCAGAACATCATTTCTAAGATGATTATTACAAGGGAACACCTGAAGCTATTCTCCTCTATTTTAAATTAATTTATCTTCCCCCTCTCCTTTTAAATAGTTCTGGCTACCCAAGAGGTGGTGGAAAAACAAACAGCCAGGGCTTTTTCCAGCTTTCCCAGTGAACAAACACTCCTGCTCCACGGAGAGTGAGCAAAGCCAGTGCGAAGACGGGTGTGGGAGGAGTTCAAAGGGGCCGCTTCAGGGACCAGGTGACCGTTCCCTTCCAGTCATCCCCCTGGGCTTCCTTTCCGTCTTGACATTTCCTGGAGGGCCGGACACCCAACAGGGCAAACCCTTCCCTGCCCCGGAGCATCCAGGAGAGGAGGGAACCGCGCTGGGCTGCAGCCGGCACCTGCGGGCTTACTGCTGAGCTCCCCGCGTGTCAGAGACACGGGGCACGCGGGGAACGTACTGCCCGCTGTTTGAATCTGGGTGGAGGGGAGCCAAGGTTCGTGTTACTATTATTTCTACTTTTCTCTCTGTTCGAAAAGTTTCTCAATACACAGTTGGAAAAGAAAAAAAAATAGATATGATTATTCTGATTTTATTGTGCAAAGGGGTATAGAGCACATAGAAAAAACCTGGAAGAGAATAAACCCACACCTCAGGAGTGCTTTCTCACCATGGTGGGCTTCTGGGTGATTTGTCTTCCTTTCTAATTTTTGTATTTGAAAAAATGCTCTGAAATGGATAAGTATCACTTCTATAATCAGAAGCAAGTTATACATGTTTTTTAAAAATTTCAGTAAATGGGCTTTAGAGAAAGCACCTAAGCAGGCCTCTTCCCTGACACTCTCAGGACAGAGTCTGCAGGGGTCTCTTTCTGATTTCCTTTCCTGCCAGGACACCCCGGATTTCGGGGGCTGGGTGATCTGCTTACGTGGTGCTGGGTCTTATTCTCCATCTGACCCAGTTTTGTGTTCATTTTATCCTGAACTGATCCCAGCTCTGCTCTGATCTCCTCCACAGTTGCCTCCAACTGATTCTCCAGCTTGTTGATCAGGGGTTCACATCGACAGCCATTTATCGGCGCCTAAGAGGGAAACAAAAAAGGAATCAATCCAACTCATTTGTTCCTCCAGCAAATCAGTTCTGAGTACCTATCATGTGCCAGTCAGCATACTGGGGGGTGCAGACAAGGAAGGAGAGTTACCTGCTGGAACGGCCAGCAGGCCAAGCCTTGGGTGCAGTAGGCACTAAGAAGATTCAGAGAGTGAGATATGGTCCCAATCTGCAAGCTACTTTTATCTATTCTGGGGCCTCAAGATTACCTTGTCACCTAAGGATGGTGCAGAAAGCTTTGTACTCCCCCTGTGTGCCTGGGCCTAAGCAACAGGAGTTGTCTGCACCGTGTAGGTGGGGAGGTCCAACTGGCGATTGTTCAAAGCTCATGCCTTCTTAAGTCAATGCCTCAAGTGGATACTAGCCCCCAGAAATTGTGTTAAACAGAACACCGTGCTTAAGGCTTGCAGTCACCCTACATCCTGCAGGGCGCGGTGGGTACCTGCATCACTTTCCCGTCCTTTCCCCGGTACAGCGTGTAGAGCTGGTATGCTCGGAACTCGTGGGGGGCCGGCGGGGGGGAGCACCGGTGCCTGGGCCTCTTTTTAGCGTGGTTATGAGTGTGCAGGCTCTTCTGGTGTCCAGGCTGTTGGTCTGCGGGTGGGGTGGGGTCCGAAAACGCTGACACCTGTGGGAAAGGAAGACATGACACTCGTTGGTACTGTGACCTGCACAACGGACATCCAGCAGCGACTCCAGTATCACCCAACTTGTGTCCCCTGTGCCCTGCTCCGAGCACCACATCACAAGAAATGGGTCAAGATCAGCATGCCCACCTTGTGTCCACAGTAAGCCAGACTTCATCTCTGCGCTTGGCTCCAAACCAGCAAGCCCAGTGGAGTGGCTTTCTGGCTGCTGAGCCCGACGCCATCCCAGGCCCACCGCCAAGCTGCCTCCTAGCCCTCTCAGTGGCTCCACGTGCCTCCTGACCTTGGGTCTTGACTTTCTCTGCCTGTTGTCCTTCGCTCTGGGCTCCGGGGAGGCTGACAAGAAATCTTCGCTGGCCTCTTCTTTCCTGGGCACAGCCTGTTCACTGCTGGGGGTGTCTCCTGCAGAGACACTTCCCTACAGAGAAAAAAAGCCCAGAAATCTGTTCTAACTGCCCCCCTGGCCTTTTCCAATAATGCTGTGAAATTCTCTTTGCAAGTCTCCATTCCACGGGGACCTATGAGAATCCTTGCCAAGGACAAATGTCAGCCATGGGGAGCACAGCTGTGTGGGCCTAACTGAACACACACGCCTTTTCCTATCGGCTGAATATTTGGCTTTTAACGTGTTAGATACCAGACTAAATGCAGCCTCGGGTCTAATTCTGTGTTCTAGAACTTCAGGGACCTCCCAACACAAAACAACTCAGCAGTAGAGATTTTTGGTTTTTTGCATTTCAACAAAAAACAATCCCACTCACTCTCTGAGGTTGGGCCCCCAGAATTCAAGTGGAGAGTGGGAACCCTCTGAAATGAAAAACACCACCACAGTTCTGGCTTTTGTGAGCACTTTTACAAATGAATATGTATTATTCACACACAGGAACTTAATCAGAGTTACAGGGCCTTAACCCTGGGAACTTGTAAGAGGACTTTGCAAGAGCAGACCAAAGAACAAGTACTTGGTATAAAATTGTATGTGCCAAAAGTTGTCTCTCTATCCCGGGAGAGCTGAAAAGCATGGTTTGTTCCAGGGCTGCCATGTAGAGCGGTACAGGCTGCTCACTGCACAAGGGTACCTAGCTGAGAGGGGTGAGTGGGGCAGGAGGAGCTGATGCCTATCCTCCACATGTGCCCTGTGCAGGGCCGGGCTGCCCTGGGGGCATCTTCTCTGGTTTGCGCAGCCTCAGTCTGCTCCCTAAGGGGGAGAGAGGACGGAGTTTATGACAGTGGCTCTCACTGTGGTCTGTGTCAGAACCTCCTGGGGGGCTAGTCCACACGCAGACTGCTGGGCTCTCAGCCCAGAGTTTCTAACGCAGTGGGTCGAGGTGAGGCCCCCACATCTGGGTTTCTAGCAAGGTCCCAGATGACACGGGGGCCACCCACTTTGAAAACCACGCTGCACACAAAGGCAGGGTGCCCGAGAGGCAGTGCTGTCCATACGGTGGGGGAGGCCCCCCCACATGGGGTAGTCAGTGCCCCCACACGGGGTAGTCAATGTCCCCACACGGGGTGCTGGGAAGGACAGCCGACACTCACGGGTGCAGGATCCAAAGTCTCAGAACAGAGGAGGCCGAGGGGAAAGGCTGACAGCGGAGTGAAGGGGCCCAGTGGGGGGAGAGGCCGAGGCTGGCAAGGGGGCCGCGGGGGCTTCTGGGGGAGGCAAGGAGAGTGTCTCCGGCCCCGAGGCTGGGGCAGGGCTGGGGCGGGTCGGGGGTGCTGCCTCCTACCTTGCTCTGTGCCACCTCATCTCTTGGCACAGACTGGGCTCTCCTCTCGTCCTTGAGCCTCTCTCTCTTTTTCCTCAGGCTTCGCCCACGACTGAAGCGCAAGACCTGAAGGAGGCAAGAGGCTCCGTTACAAGCGGTGGGTGTGTGCAGCGTTGGTGGGAGAGAAGTCCCTGCCCTCGGCATTCAAGGCCTAACGGGACTGGGGCGAGACCAGGCACCTGCTTCAGACAGGCACCTCCAGACCACCTGCTGTGCCTCCTCGGGCTCGTGCTGGGCACTGTGGGGACCAGACACAGGCAGGGCATTGCCGCTGGCCTCACAGAGCTTTCAGTCCACGACAGTATCATCAGGCCAGGGCTGCCATGCGGATGTGCAGGGCACCATTCACACAGAAAAGGGTGTGAGTGGCGTCCCCTGGGCTTGCACGGCTTGGCAGCCCTATGCCGGGCGCAGGCTCACTGCCTGGGTACCCTGGACCTGAACTAGCACATCAGGCTTTTCTTGGCCAAACTCTAAGTCGTGTTCAATTTGATTCAAACATTACTGCGGTGCATCCGTGAGCCTTGGTACTGACCACAGAGTCTCTTCCCCAAAAGGAAGCGATGGTCTGCCCGTAATGTGCGGAGAGGTAGAAGGGACAGGAGCGAGAACGTGTGGGGTCTGACAGATCCCGACTGGAACCCAGCAGCTGCCTACAGGAGCTCCGGGCAAGTTCCTAGACCTCTCTGTGCCCTGCAGTCTTGAACGTGACAATGAAGAGTTGCTGGGCTTAACCAACACGAAGGAGGTGGTGGTGCACTTAGGGCCGTCGGGCACTGTCAGTTGCCTCCCACCCAGCTGGCTACCTTTGAGCTGCTCAGAGGGCCGAGGACGTCTAGCCACAGAAGACAGACCTTGGAGCCGGTGGAGACCTTCCGTCTCCAGCCCAGCTCCACACCCTTCCCCTGACTTGCAGTCGCAGGGTCCACCCCCTTTAACCAGGAGGTTCTGAAGGCGAAGACAGTTTCTCAAGGTCACACTGTCTTTCTACGGTAAAACATTTTATGTTGCTTTGCATAGATTGATAAGGGTTCTCTGCAGTTCAGCACAGTGTTCTCATTTCTGTGTCAGACCTGCTTGTGTCCATTAAGTTCAATGATTCCTTTGTAAGACAAAAAGAACCTGTACACGTTCTGAGAACATCTCAGTGGAACATTCTGCCAATTCCTGCCAATATCTGCCTGTGGCTAAGCCCGATTTTTACTCTCATCCCTAAGCCAGCAGCTCTGAAAGTGTCCAGGGACCCCTGGGTCCATGAGGCTAAAATTATTTTCGTGACACTGCAGCAGCGCTGGTCTCTCCCGCTCTGACTGTCTTTGGGGTGTGCAGTGGAGTACCCCGGAGGTTGCATGCATGAAACTGCAACAGGTAACAGGATCCTCAATTTCTGCGTGCAGTTTTCTTTCAAGTAAGACAATAGGAGATTTGCAAAAATGTAAAACAATGGTACTCTTCTCACTCAATTTTTGTGTTGAGAAATAGTTTTTTTCACAGAAAAGATGCTATTTATGTTACTGTAAAATAGACTTATTTTTAAATGAACATCTTTAACATCTCTCAACTTTAATTTCAAAGAGGATAACTATGAATAGACATAACTCACATAAAACAAAGGAGCCTCTGTAATATTTAAGAACGTAACAGGGTCCTTAGAACACAAGGTCTGAGAACTGCTGGCCTAAACCATTTTTAAACTGAATTCAGACTCACTAGGAGGTCAAGTCTGATGAAAGGAAGTGAGCAGCGCCCGGTCATTCAGTTTATGGGCCCTTAGACCAGGATACAGCACCAGAATCAACCTGAAACTCATTTCAGAAGCATCTGTGAACCACATCAATTCAAAATAAGGAGGGACACTCAAGAGTCACCCAAACCCAACATAATCACCAGAAAACTTCCCTCTATAAACCATGTTATTAGCCAGTGAGAATAACCGCGTGGCTCACAGCTGTTCTCAGCACACCATCCCAGCTACCAGAGGGAACGTCAGCAATCTTTTTCAGTTCATACAAATCAGGGGATACTGATGTTCAGTCCTCAGCAAGAAGCATCTTCTCAGTACTGCTGTGAGCCACTGAAATCCATGGCCAACTAAGGTGCCCAGGCAGGGGGATTTTTTGTTTCAAATAAAAAACAGTAAGACCATTTCTGGAACTATGGAACAGCAGAACAGCACACATACAATATTATGCATATTTAAAAGTCCCTTCTTTGTGCTGAGAAGAGGGTTTAGCATGTATAATTACATAAAATATCTTTTCATACAATGTCATCCTGGGTGACATTCAATATGGGTGCAGAAAAACTTGCCTATTTCTTGTGGAAATCCCTCAAGGAGAATGGCCCACGGTAAAAACTTTTCCCCTATGACTGCAGATCTTGGGCTCTGGAAGACAAACGCCAGGCAGGTTCAAGGCACATAAGTCTTTGTGTGCGTGGGGGATATTCTACTCCCCAGCTGATGACGTTCATACAGCTGAGGGCAGAGCTGGCTATCCAAACTGCCAAATGCTGACATGCCAGCGAACTGTGAGGGGTTCTTTCATTTATAAAGCACCCCATGCTTTTCGATCCATGGACAGACCAGCCTTTTTCTATGAGATGTCATGGATGTGATTCTGCTGGTGATTTGTCTGCATAGCTGGAGAGGTAGAGCCTTCTTCCAAGGGAGCACCTGACTCGTGCCTGTCAGGGGCTCCACGGACTTCCAGAGACCACCTAGAAGGACCAACTCCATGGCCAAAATGTGATCAATTTTCAAAATGCAAAAAAAAAAATCTTAAACATTTCCAGAAACTGACAGTTATATTAGGCATGTTTTAAAAACTGGAACGAACTAAAGGCCATACAGAACCCTGGCTGGCTAGGGCTGGGCTGTGATGCAGCCGAATGGTGTCTGGAAATTTCCTCTGGCTCCCTGAGACTTTGTCCTCTTGAAACATTAGCCGGAATAAGGTGGAAAACCGATCAGTATTTGCTGTAATTTAATAAAGAATAGCTCCAACTGGGAAATAACCTAAACGCCCTACATTAAGGAAATGGTTTAAAAAAAGAATACTATGCTCCCCTTATGATGAGTAATTGTGAAGACAACAGAACATTCTATTACAGTAAGGACAAAGGGCAGACTCTGAGAGGGTATATACACTGCAGGCACAATGATAGAAAAACTGTGTGTCTGTGGTAATATGAAGAAACAAAAACAGTTATTTCAGGGGGCTGAAATCATGAATAGCTTATAAGGCATTAAATTTCTTTATTGTTAATGGGAGAATTTAAACCCCAACTGACATATCATTTGTAAAAAAATTAAATGAGAGATAAAAAAGGAAAGCTATACATCACACTTAGCTGCCTTTAGTGGGCATTTTCGACTTGGTCTGCCCAGGAAGGACCCCTCTCCCCCACCTTTCTCCAGGAAGTGCCACTTCTGACCATGCTGTCAGACGGATGCAACCATCTTCTCAAACCCCCTGTCCTGTTTGCTCTGTGACTTTGTCCCAAGCTCTCTGATCAAGATCCTTTCCTGCAGCGCTTTAAGCTGGAACTTCTCTCCTGCCAGTACCTTAGGAGTTATGATCCCGGAAGTTGGAAGTGGCAGTGATGTGGCAAAGGGAGGGAATGATGCCTGTGTATGAAAAGCAGCGGGCTGGACCTGAAATCTCTGGCTCGTTACCTTGGCGGCCCACATGGCTTCCTAGATTTCCCACTGTGCAGTTAGTAGGCCCATCTAAGTTGGAATTGGCTTCAGTAGACTGCAACCAGGGAGTCCCAGTGACTTTGCGGCTCCACATAATCAATACAATAGAAAATGTAATAAGTCCTACCTGGGGAGCTTTAGTGAGGAGAAGAGCAACCTCCGGATTATTGTGATGGCGGGCAGTCTCCAGCGGAGTGTGGCCTGCCTACGGAAAGCACAGGGGAAGACAGGGCGTGAGGGCCTCCAGCCCAGGACACACAGCCTGGCTGGGACAGTGGCCCA